TCAAATAGACAGAATCCAACAAAAGTAGAAGGATGATATAATTGGTTTCAGAGACCAAGTCAGGGAATTTATTGTGGTGGTGGCCTGTAGGCGATGAAGCTGATGCACTGCACTTGGCGAAAGCTGTCAAATCCAATGATTCTGACGTGAGCCCGGGGGTACTCCTTCTTGGCCTCCTCAAGCTCCTTCAACACCTGAGTTGGGTCTGTGCATCCAAACATGGGCAGCTTCCACATTGTCCAGTATCTTCCATCATAGTATCCTGGTGACTTGTGGTTGTCACGGTACACAAATGGGTACTGCAAATTTCCACACAATTTTCTTTTTATCTACATATGTCTTCTTCTTTACCCCAACTTTATTCTCATCTCAACATAAAACTTAATAAACACAAGAGAAATGCGAGAAAACTTACGTCAACTTGGAACTCCAAGCAAGGAACCCATCCGTTCCTCAGAAGGTAGTCGACTTCCTTCAACAAAGATTCAGCGGAGAGAGGTGGGAGGTAGGAGAGAGTCTCAAACTTCTTCTTGCCAAGTGGGGGCCACACCTGGTTTTTTTTTTTTTTTCACAGACACTTTTGTGTAAGTTTTCTTCCCTTTTTCCCCCCAATTATAATAACAGATGAAAGCAATTTGAAGTGTATTGTGTCAATTTCTCTTGTGGGGATATGCTCTTACCAGCATGCAGCTTACTCTTCCACCATTGCTAGCAATGGAGGTGATGTCGGTGTTGGTCTTCTTGCTCACGGGTAAGCCGGAGCCTGCCTTGAGGCCGGTGAAGGCGCCGACCTTGTTGGTCTGGGCGGGAGTGATGGTGGTGACGGCGGCGGAAGAGAGCACAGAGGAAGCCATTTCCTTCTCCTTTTTCCTTGCTACTAGTTACTATATTAGTACTCTATTACACAGAGTGAGAGATGGAAAAGCTTCAGCTTGAGCCTGTTATATAATGGCTTGATTTCTGTATTTCCAATCCTATGGCTTGAAAACGGGAGGCTCTTGATTTGCAAAAAATTAACGGTTGGATGGCGGAGAAGGTGACATTACTCGCATTATGACCACACGAGAGTGGAAGTTTTCTGAACGTTAGCCTTATCGTTAGGCACCACTATGGCATGCCACGTGGACGAAGCTCCCTAATCTTATCCCTTTCCAAAGGACAGAGTGAACGTGTGATGGTGGTGAAGTTTGATACTTTTTCGTTCCTCAGCCAATTTGTGACCATCCCTTCTCAAGAAATATGGTAAGGTTTCAGTGAAGTTAAACCCTCCGTCATTTTTTTGCGGTAAACTTTGATAGTAACAGTGATCATTAACCAAGCTTTGGCTTTTCTGCAGTTGACAGGTAAATAAAGAACCATTTTATCTGACAGTCTCTCATCTCTTGTCAGATATTTGAAGATGTTTTCATTTATCTTTCATCCTTTCTTTCCAATACGTGCTAACCAGATTTTGCTTGGATTAATGACACAGTAGCAAGTTGCAGCTATCCCTTTCACGAAATTTTAGTGCAGTACAAGTTCCTAACTCATTGTAAACATCAAAGTACATGGGGTGCCGGCTCAAACATAAGGAATTAACTGAGAAATCTCAGTAATCTGCAAATTGAAGAAGCAAAAATGTGAACATGGAAAAAGAAAATAGCTTCGCAGTGGACGTTCACTAGATGAGAAGCTGTTTTCTTCAAGAGAGAATGTTTTTCATTTTGTTTCTGCTGAGCTGTAGCTTTGTCTTGTTGTAATGATTTTTTCCTCTCTCATTTTTCTCGGCAGAATTTGAAGTCATTCAATGAAAGCAGTGCTTTTTCTTGTAAAAGATAAAACAAGATTTGAGTGATTTTCAGGTATGGAACTTAGTGAAAGTTCAACCATGTGAAACTGGATGGCATGATTCTGCAGAAAATATCTGTCAACCAGCTTCACAGTCTCTCTATCCATTCTCCAAGCCATTCATACCATCTTTTACTGAACTCCGTGAGCTTATTATTCAACCAAAACCAATATAGCTTTGCCCATAAAGCAGCCTCTGATTAGAAATGCACCATATCCCTTGTTAGCTAGTTTGGTCTTTCCTGCCGAATGTCCTCTTTGAAACTGGAAGATTATGTTCAATTTGAACAAATTTTGGCCATCCAATTGATATATCTACCCAAATCTGTTAAATAGAAATAAATTGGACAAAGGAAGGCCATTTAAAACAAGTCATTTTTCTCTCTTAAATGAAGAGAATCCGATAATTTAATGAAGAGATGTTTACATGTTACTTTAAACATTCAAAACTTACTTCTTCAATACTTACTCTTTATCTAACACAAGAAACAGAAGAAGAAAGTAAAAGGACAAAAAAACTGGACCTTGGGCTGCTATGTGAGAGTAGATTATTTTTGTTTCTATGCGAGGAACACTGGAATGGAATATACAGACAACATTAGCTTCTCTGCAGTAAATTAGTCTCACAAAAATGGATTTTAGATTCTGTAAGTCACCAACTTTCCTCACTGAACTCCTTTAAACAAGGTTTTCCCCGCACTGTTGACAACCTAATCAGAGCAAAAACACTACTTTAGATAAGGTTATGACAGAAACCATACTTTGTTCAACATCTTCATGCATTGTAAGAAGCCTTGTCCAGAACAAAACCCAGCTAGAGGAAACCCTTGGCCTTTTCTCTTAGCTGTTAAATCTGATCTTAGGTATGGCCTTCTGCAAGAACCTCAGTTATTTGTTCTTCAACATTACAAGAGGACAATGCAACATCCTTTTCCTTCTTATCTTCTCATATGAATTGGAATTTTGAAGGGAAAAAGACCATTGAGGACTAAAGGATTGTATTTTGAGACATGAACCCAATATATCCTTGGTCAATTATAAATGAAGCGTGCAAATTACTAGCATCCTCCTACTGGCAAGACTTCTGTAGGACCACCGAGGTCTGTGTGATTAAGTAGCAGCATTCCAGTTACTTTGTGATTGACCATTTGAAAATCCATCATCCTACTGATAGGCTAAGTTGTGTACCTTCCTTGTGTTAATAAAGATGGTCCTTTTGCCTTTTCAATCAAGTTGTTTCCATTTCCTCGTTTGAACCCTTAAGATGTTTGACTTTTCGGTTTTCTTGAATAGGCTGAAGTCAAATGTCATGTGAACCGTACAACCACTATCCATCAACAAAGCTTCTGAATTTTTGTTCATTGGATAAGAAGTTCTATGGACAGTGCTTTATCTTAACTAGACTTCTCACATGAGAAATATTATGAACTTTGCGTACGTTGCTGGCAACAAAGGACATTTCTATGTATTTGTTTTTCTGACTTGTGTTCCTAATCTGTGTCATGATACTTATCAATAAGCTTTGGCAAGTTGCTTGTGGCAGATTGTTTAAGCTTTAAAATCTTCAGAAAGACTAACCAATATTTTTTTCTGCTACCTTTGATCTGATATTTCAACATTATTCATCTTCATATTCAAATTTCCTCCTCAGGTTGAGGATTTACGTGTTTCTTGTTTCTGAACTAGCTTGGAGCTCCTCATAAGCTTGTCTCCAAAGCTTTTCCCGTTTTGCATTAATTCTATAGATTAATTAGTTCGTTGTAGTTTTCTTTTTGTAGTTTTGTTGCACTGCAGGATTAGCAAACTTCCTTGTGCAAACAAATTTCAGGAGAGGAGATCCATCAAAGCATATTATGACAAGGCAAGAAGTCTGCTTTTTTTTGGTTTCCTTTTAGATAAAATTTTAGACCAGCTGCATAAATCGATGGTTGACAAGAGAGGAACGCCAAATGCAGAAAAACAACTAGTGTCCTTACTACAGTGAGAGGCTAAAAATGAAAAAGATATTGAGCTCAGAATTTTCCAAATGACAGCTTGAAGTGCCCTATTTTCCCCTCATGCAGAGCAATATTTCCCTTATGCCATTGATAAGGGTGATATATGAAGGTAGCTTTGAGGTAAGTTTGAAAAGTTATAATTGAAAAGCATCCAAACCATACAGCATGAATATACAGGCAAAGCAAAAATATGAGATCCATGAATTCTTTAGTATTACATCCAAAAAGATTACCAGTTGGGAGATCAGAAAGTTATGTAAGAACTTTCATGTTAGAATGAGTTGCTTATAAGAAAGTGAGAGTCACCATAAAAAATTTCAAAATGAATCTTGAGCGCCATGAAATGAAACAGAAGATTGGAGACATTTCCTATGATTATCATTAGTTTTTATAATAGAGTTAGCAATTGAAGGGGTGCTCCATTCCTGATGATTGCAATTAAAGGGAATATGCGGTATGAGATTTGCAACTTTGAGTTCATTGCTAGTGCGACTCCTAAGGGCATATACAGGCCACCAGAGGTGGTGATTTAAATTTTCTTCCCCTACGAACAGAAATGAATTTTTTAAACATGGAATTATTGAATAAATTTTATTCATAATACTACCTCCGATCCTAATTATAAGACCCAGTTGACTTATTTAAGGAGATTAAAGAAGCAAGTTAAGTTAGTTATTTGTAATAAATAAGTGTTGTCATTCCTAAAATATCCTTGCTAATTAAGTATATTGGCTAGAACTATCATTATTAGAAGGATTATCTTGAAAAAAAATGCATAAATATGAGAGACAAAATGGATTGGGGTCTTATAATTAGGACCAAATAAAAAGTCAAACAGGGTCTTATCCGGAGGTAGTATATATTTAAGTTAAAATACCAAAATACCCCTATTCACAAGAAATTGGGAAGAAAAAAAAGACAGATGAATTGAGCCACTATCTGCTCGGCCATGCGGCCAAACACTCAAGCATCAACGGGGCAAATTCAAATCTATGCGCCACCCACCTTAATCCTATGCGCAAGTCCTTCATAAGAGAAAATTTTCATTTATAGGGTAATTAATGACTTTTTTAATTTTATTTCTATTAAATTTATCTTTTTTAATACGGTACAGTACTGGTAGACCGATACAGTTTTTCTGGGAAAAAAAGGGCTTGAGATTGAGAAATGCTGGGTTAGTCATAAGTGAGGTTGACGAACAAGAAAATCGCCCGGGGCAGAGGAGAAGCCGTCGCAGGTGGTGAAGGCGACAGCGACGAAGAAGAAGTGAGCTTTGTTGATTCACTCACTTTCAAAATCAAGACTTTGTCTGAATCTAGATACCCATTCGAACTCGTGTATTGCAAATTTGCAGGTAAATCCATAGCTCCAAAAAGCATATTATAATTAGATTCTACAGAAAAAAACGCATCAAATCCAAGCGAGTTTTCAGCTTGATCTCACGAAGACCATGAGATCAAGAATGGTTCGCTGCCTCGAAAATCGTCTTTGGTTCTCTCATCCATTGTCATCATCAGACCCTATCATCATCATACAATCCTCGTTCTCCAATCTCTTTGCTGGCGAAGCCGATGGATTTTGAGGTCGGAGGTCGATGCCGTCAAAAATGTAAGTGAGGGGTCAGGGTTATCGAAAGAGGTTGTGTAGTTTTGAAATAGGAATTTTGTTACTTCTGTGGAACCCATCTCATTGGAATCCAATTCCGCCCATTTTGATAGAATTCAATTTCATATGGAAGCCTAATTCAAACCAAACATGCAAAATTCTGGATTCATTTTCATTTCGATCCCTGCATTTTCAGTTTCAGCATGCCAAACTGGCCCTGTTTTGTCAGTTTTGATGATTCCAAGTTCAAACATAGAACAAAAGTACTGCTTCTTGTAGAATATTCGGACTGTACGTAGGGGAAGATTTCATAAACATGCTCAGATTTTGGGGCTAATTGATTCTGATTTACTTCTAAATTCCTTCATTTCTTTGAGAAACAGAAAATGAATTACATTCCCAAAGCTATGGGCATTAGGCTGATCCTGAGAAAGCTTGTTTTTTCCATCACAGATTCCTAACAATATCACGTATATAACTATAACTATAATGTAGGCTAGTTTTTACAAAGGCACATTGTTTATATTTATAAATTACGCGGCTTCTTATGATTTATGTTATATATATAGATGTGTAGATAGATATAAAACCAATCAACAATATATACATATGAGGAGGACTTTGTGTCTTTAGATCTTTGAGCTCAGTAAAATTTGTCTACTTGGCTGTTTTCCACCTAGTCCTTTTCTTGTTCTACTTTTCAACCCTTGAATGCACGAGGTGGCCGTTCAATTTCACAATGATAATCTAAAATGCCCATGATTTCAACCCAGAAAAGGATAATGGATAAACATATATGTATAATGGGATGTGATTAAGCAAGCAAATGGTTATTCATATATATAAAAGATCTCATCCAAATGTTCTTTTCCAGTGAAAATCCGGTAAACACAAACCAAAAGCATAGGATGATTTATAGTGCCATACAAAAAACAACAAATGGGAATTCAGCAATACAATAACCGACTGGGTTTTTGCAGAACAAAGTGATCAGAGAATTTATTGTGGTGGTGGCCTGTAGGCGATGAAGCTGATGCACTGCACTTGGCGAAAGCTGTCAAATCCAATGATTCTGACGTGAGCCCGGGGGTACTCCTTCTTGGCCTCCTCAAGCTCCTTCAACACCTGAGTTGGGTCTGTGCATCCAAACATGGGCAGCTTCCACATTGTCCAGTATCTTCCATCATAGTATCCTGGTGACTTGTGGTTGTCACGGTACACAAATGGGTACTGCAAATTTCCACACAATTTTCTTTTTATCTACATATGTCTTCTTCTTTACCCCAACTTTATTCTCATCTCAACATAAAACTTAATAAACACAAGAGAAATGCGAGAAAACTTACGTCAACTTGGAACTCCAAGCAAGGAACCCATCCGTTCCTCAGAAGGTAGTCGACTTCCTTCAACAAAGATTCAGGGGAGAGAGGTGGGAGGTAGGAGAGAGTCTCAAACTTCTTCTTGCCAAGTGGGGGCCACACCTGGTTTTTTTTTTTTTTTCACAGACACTTTTGTGTAAGTTTTCTTCCTTTTTTCCCCCAATTATAATAACAGATGAAAGCAATTTGAAGTGTATTGTGTACAATTTCTCTTGTGGGGATATGCTCTTACCAGCATGCAGCTTACTCTTCCACCATTGCTAGCAATGGAGGTAATGTCGGTGTTGGTCTTCTTGCTCACGGGTAAGCCGGAGCCTGCCTTGAGGCCGGTGAAGGCGCCAACCTTGTTGGTCTGGGCGGGAGTGATGGTGGTGACGGCGGCAGAAGAGAGCACAGAAGAAGCCATTTCGTTCTGCTTTTTTCCTTAGCTGCTAGTTTATTATACTAGTACTTCAGTACTTTGATGAAAAAGCTTGAGCTTGAATTGCCTATTTATAATGCTTAACTTTGGATGTCTCTAATCCAAGGGTTTGAAAATGAAGGGCTCTGAATCTGTAAAAACTTGACCGTTGGATAACGGAGGTGATGACATTACTCTCACCATGGCCACACGAGAATGAAAGTTTGTGAAGAACAGCCTTATCGTGATGGACCAGTGTGGGAGTGCCACGTGGAGGAAAGGTCCATAATCTTATCTTTTTGGATATGGAACAAAGTTAAAATGTGTGATGGTGGTGGAGTTGATATTTTTTCTTGGTGCGGCAGGGTTTAGTGTATATTGGCCTCTCATGGAATTTGTGACCATGTCTTCTTCACTCACGTATATCATTCATTGCTCTAGTTTAATGCCTCTTGTCATTGTTAGAACTAATGGTTGTCCTTGATTTGGCTCTTTGGAGAAGGTTTATATCAAAGTCACAGGTTTTAAGTTAATAAAAATTATATTTCATGCTAAATTAATTAGGCTTAATTGTGAAATTAATATATAACTTCAAAGTGTATAAGATGCATTTTTTAAATTTTAGTTAAACACATTAGTGCGTCTAATTTAAATCCTCATTATCTTGTAAGGATTTAGAATTTTGAAAAATAAATCCAAGTGCATTCAAAAAGTCACTTTCTACATCGGCATGGAAACTTTACTTTCTATGTCAATTACCTTGTATAACAGAAGTGGAAAGTAACTTTTTACCACCTTTTTTCTCAATGTAAAATGCTGATAAAATTAGGTCGTTTGATTACTGACTGCACATCTCTCCTATAACTGATGCTAAAAGCCCTTTAGCTAATGTTAAAAGCTTTTTCTGTATTAGATCAATCTAATGCACAATTTATGCTGGACTGGATTTGGTACTTTCGTTTTAACTAAAAAAATCGAAACTGTGTTGCGTGATACTACTTTTTTTTTAATATAAGAGTTAATTTGACTTTTAATTAAGTATTAAATATAAAATCCCAATTAACTTTATTTCTCACATTTATTCATTTTTTTAAAGTAGTCATTGTAGTAGTTATACCTGTTAAATGTCTAATTAAATTGTAATTTTAACTAATACATAATTAGTAAGGATATTTTAAAGAAGATAACATCTAATTATTACAAATAACTAACTCAACAAATTTTTTTAATTTATTCAAATTAGTCAACTAGTTCTTACGTTCAGGACCAGAAATAGTAGTTGAAAATGAACACCTTATTTCTGTAAATAGTAAGATATAAAAAGGGCAAAGAAATATGAAGGAAACATAAAAATACATATATGAACACATATGAATGGAATTTGGAAATGTAGTTTTCATCTGACAGTCTCTTATATCTTTTGTTGGGTTGTTGACCATACGCGCGTGTCGCCCTTCCTTAGCAAAATGAAGAAAGATAAAAGAAGTAGAATTATATATCCTATCTCCTTTATTCTTTTTTTCTTTTCTTTTCTTTTTTTCCTTTTCCTTCTCTCTCAATCATATCGCCTCATCATTCATCCAGAACCACTCAAGATATTTTAAATATCTTACTGATATGTTTATTTGAGCTTACTGAGATATTTTATAATGATGACATTATTGTGACAGAACAGGGTTTGAAGAGATACGAGTGTAGAGAGGATAGAGGCAGTATTAAGAGAAGGAGTATTTATCTGTATGTCCATGAGTTTTCATTGTCTTCTTTGAGCTTTATTCCTTTCTTCTAATCCAAAAAATAAAGTAGGGGCTTTCCATATTGAAGATGCAGATTTCACTGCCAAGATCTGGTTTGAAGGATATATTTGGAGTGACCTAAAAAAGATATGCCATGAAGATGCAAAGCAATTACTCTTGTCTAACAAGGACAAAATCCTAGACCTTCGTTCTAATGGCCTAACATTAAATTTTCAATATGAATATACTATTTTATCCTTTATTTATTATAGTATAGGTAGTTATCTCTTTTGAAAGCAACATATATTAAATATGAGTAAAGTTGAAATTTTTTTTATATTTTAATGAAGAGTTAATACATTTTAAGGTTTTCCTTAGTTTGTGTGAAATATGCTAAAAGTACCTTGTCAATTGGACCAGAGGAGTAATCTATATGTAGAGAGATCACTTTTTTTTTTAAATTATGATATCAATTAATAGCACTTGAATCCTCTAACTTCACAAAAATAACTAATTTACCATTTAACAAAAATAACTTCACAAAAAAAATTATGATATCAATTAATAGCACTTGAATTTGATTTAAATATAAAATCTTAATTTATTTTTTGTTTTATATTTATCATTTTTTTCATGAACTAATTTACCTAACTTATAAGCTAATGTATGATATATCGTTACACATGCACGTGACATTTATTATAATTAAGTAATTAATTTAATTTTTTTATATTCAAATTAGTTAAGTAACTCTTATATTAAAGATCGGAGAGTGTATATTTATACTTCTCGCAAGAGGGGCCAAAAGTGTAATTATAATACATGGATCATACACAATCAGATATTGTGTCAATTTTTATCTTATGTCATGTCTGCATGACTACAAAAAAATTTATCCTTCAATTATCCAAGGAATCATTAAATATATTGTAAAATTTAATGGCAATCCATCCCGTATTTTGCAGTCACAAAAATAAAGTGAAAAAACTAAATAATATGTATTAAGGGAGCTGTGAATCTTGTGTACAAATCTAATTCTTCTGCATTGCTTTTTTTCTTAAATGTATTAACCAGATGGGTCAATTTGATCAACACTTTCAACATAAGTTATCTTGTGATTATTTTTTAGAAAAATCGCGAGAAAAAAAACCATAAAAATTATGAAAACACAAATAAGGTATTTTGTCAAAAAATTTGTTGTCATTTTTTATTCAATTGTTGTCAAATCTATATAAATCTTGTAACGGGTCTTGATTTACATTTTTTATTTTCACCGTTTTTTATGATTTTCTCCTTTTTTTATTAGGTAAAATTCTTTTTTAGCCAAATTAAATGAAGTGAACTGTGAAGAAACTTTTTAAGTTGGCGGGAAATCTGGTGAATTGGAAATAGCACAACATGTAAATTGGAAGTAGCATATTCGTCCTGTAAATAACTGTAACTCAAATTTGAATTACAAAGAGAAAGATGGTCTTTCACCAGAGAGAGAGAGAGAGAGAGAGAGAGAGATAAGGCCAAATTTTCTCACACTGTACTCATCACTCAAATTGTCTTCCACAAGTCGAAAAACAAATTGTCTCTCATCTCTGACCAAGCCAAATATTAATATTCACATTCAAACAATTTTTTCTTTTAAATTGTGTTCATAATTTGTAAAAAGAGATAAACACGAGACATCTAGGAAGCTATAAATTAAAATGTAAGTTAACCAAATATTTGTGTCTTATTAACTACTAGTACTCTTTATTAAATGAGCATCATAAAAACAGGGGAAAAACAGTTAAATATCAATTACAAGGACATTTTATCTCAAAACTTCTTTTTTTTTAATCATCCTTCACCCCATCATGCTCATAGAGCATCAAACTCACAACCTCACACTTAAATTTGCAATCTCACTTAATAAATACTTAAAGAGACACGTAGTATTATTAAGCTTGAAAGCTCCGACATCTCAAAATTTTTAATTGGGGACATAAGTATTATGACAAGCTAACTTTTTTAAACTGTGCAAGTTAATTAAAATTTATTTATATTTAAAAGCAGAGTGATTAGGATAATAGCTTGATGGGCAATATGGGATATGGGATTATAATTTTGTTTCCTAATGTGTGCATGACAAATCCTTCCTTGAGAAGCTTAGTGGGTGAAGTCGGATGTTGGAAATGAGAATATGGGCCTGTCTAGTCCACCTGGATCCACAGGTACAGGTGGAAAGAAGGTCCTTAAAAAAAACCAACAACAAAAAAAAGAAGATCATGTCATGCAAGACATTTCTTTTTTATTTTTCAAAAACCCCTTTTTTTTGGTGTATTGGGAATTTATCAATACATAACCCCAATATTTTATTAGCTGGGGGGGTCAAATTTATCCGGTCCAACCTCATAATTCTTTGATTATTTGGTTGAATATGGTATATTCCCCCTTTCTTGAGGAAAATACTTATGGGTAAATGAGGTAATCTATTAAACCACACAGTCACCCCATAAATTCAAACTAGTTGGTTGCAAATATCGAATGGTGGGGTCTGCCCCAATATACCAAATAAAAAATAAATAATATTTTTTTAAAAAAATATTACCAAATCCGAGATATTCCTTTTTTTTTCCCCAAGAGTCCTAACGTGGCCCTTTGATGAGTTGAGAATAAGTGATCTTACTTAGACTAAAGCTTTGGGTATCAGACTAAGTTAGCTTGGTTCGGTTTAGCTAACTACGGATCCTCCAGACTAATACCAGTGATGACTTTTGGGAAGCTGTGTTTTTGATACCACTTGGGGCTGTTAGCTGAACCAAACCAAGCTAACTTAGTCTAATACACAAGGCTTTAGTCCAGATAAGGCTAACGAAAATTCTCCTCTTACCACACTCTTTGAGATGATTGCTCCTCTTTTCTACTAGAGAGGAAGTCTTTCCCTTGGGATTAAGCATTTTGAAAAAAGATGCATTGTCTATTTCTGTTCTGAATTGATAAGGACTAAGGTGAAAACTAAACTTGGGCACAATGGACAATGGGGATGGAATAGCTGTTGGATGGTTAGGACACCCTATCTTTAGAGACCCAAGAGGCATATAGAGTAAATAATAGGATAAACAATCCTGAACAAATAGTAAAATAAAGACCAACTATAAACTCTATTCAAATGGCCAACCTAGTTTTTTTATACAATATATATATATATATATATTAATGTTGGGCTTAAATTTGAGACTTCATTCAAGCGTGATCGGTGACAAGTGAGGCGTGACATGGTATAACCACTTTAGAATGTGCTGTATTATTCACAACCAATCCCATCTTTTTTGAGTTTAGTGGATTATTCTTCAGGGCCCACACTACTAGTATTTTTTTTTTCCAGGCACAAAGAATATGCTCGGCAAACAAATTCCATCCGGTTTAAAATATAAGATAAATTATCTATTTATTTTTATTAAAAAATTAGTTAAAATTAGTCTAAAACAATAAAATATGGAAAGCAGTATTTTTTTTTTTCCAAAATATACCCTTATTATCGAGAAGGATAAATAGAAGATGTAATAAATGAATCAAAAAATAAAAAAGAATATATATTAGGAATAAAATTTAAAAAAATCATTAAATGTTCAGGTAAAAGTAAATGTTATATTATAAAAACAAAACCATCCAACAAAGTTTATCTTATATTTTGAAAGGGAACAATAAGAGACAATTTCTAACTAAACTGTTAACATAAAAGTTGAAATTTCAACCCACATTGCTAGGTGCTACTAATATTCATCCCACTTGCTTGAGTTTTTGGCTGTGCCCTGTTGATGAATCAAACAAATGCAAGTGGACTCCAAATTGTCATTCGATATATTAATCACTTGAAAAAGGAAGGGAGGAAGGAAGGAACAATTGTTCTAGGACGTCATGCTTGTGAGAAATACTTATAAAAGCGATAGATAATTCTCACTATAAGCCTCTTAGCAAAATACTAATCCTAATTAAGCTAGTTGATTAATTTGAGGAGATTAAAACAAGAAGTTAAGTTAGTTATTTGCAACAAATATGTATTGTCTTTTCGAAAATATTCTTACTTATCAAGTATATTGACTAGAACTATTATTGTTAGAAGGATTATTTTGAAAAAAAATACATAATAGAGAGACAAAGTGAATTTGGATCTTATATTTAGGACCAAAATAAAAATCAAATAAGGTATTATATTAAAGACTGAAAGTAGTATTAATTAAGTTTTTTTGCAATATCACCCGTATTCAAAATCATAACTACAAGATATTGACAAAAAAAAATCATTAACTATAAGAAAGAATGTAATACAAATATGAAAGTTTTCTATTTAAATATAGGTACTCCTAAGAGAACAGAGTGAGTTTTGTTTTTTGCTTAGTACAAGTCATCTCATTAAATTTAATTTCTTTATGAAAGTATAATTTTGTCCCAGTTTATAGTTTTGTTAATGTATTTTTTTAGAAAAGCATATATTTTAAATAGGGGTAAAAAAAATTATTAAAAATTGGGGGAAGAGTTAATAAAGTAATATCTTACTTATTTAGATGAAACAGGTAAAGGTTTTTAAAGATGGTGTTTGGATAGAAGCTTAAACCATGGTTTCAGAAGTGCTTTACGGATTACGAAGTAAATATGTGGAGGAGGTACCTCGTTTTGCGGAAAAGTGATTTGAAACCATGATTTTGGTTTACAAACACCCCCTAAATAGGATTAGAATTGTGAAGGGAACAAACGCGTTAATAAAGAAGCTTTGGGATTAATTATATAATAATCATAGTTATTAAATTAAAATATGTATAAAGATAATGGGAAAATAAAAGAATTGAGAAGGCCTAGGAGGAGGGTAGAGTGGAGCCCACAGTAAGCGCCCAACGGAATTGAAAGAGGGAATTTGAGTTCCCAAAAACCAGGAGCTCTCCTGGAATCCAATCCACTAATTATTCCACTTCTTCCCACCTGTTTGACCCCTGATTAAACTAGTATTAAATTAATTAATGTGCATTATTATGGTGCATGCACCTCTTAATTCTTTAACACAAAAAAAAAAAAAAGAAATTGTTAGATTTTATTAAAAATAAGGTTGACTACACGTAAAGTATTTTCCAATTCATTCAATACTTCGAAATATTTTTTAAGTGAATTCAGCATCTTAAATTATATTTGGTACATTTAGTATCTTAAAGTATTTTTTTCAGGTATATCCATACTTTAAATTATTTTTATGCATCCACCACCCTAAGTTATTCAGTCTAAAATTGTAGTAAAAAAAAACTTAGGATATATATCTAAAAAAATTTTTTAATGTTGGATGCACCTTATCCATATATATACATGAATTGTCATGAAAATAAGAAAATATAGGAGAAATTTGGAATGAGAGAGAGCAAGAGAGAATTTAAGAGAAAGAAGGAGTACATTCTCATTCTTATTCACTTAGATTTGAATATCTTATTTAATTCCAAAAAAATACATAAACTTCCCTAACAGAAAATATGAATTTATCATTTCAATAAAAATCTAAAGTAAACTTTTATCAGTTACTTTTTTTTTTTTTAAGCCGGAATAACTTACTCATTGTTAGAAGACACTTTGATTAGGTTTCGAAAAAGACACATAACGTGTGTGTGTGTGTTAGAATAGCTTTTTCTTTTTTCTTTTTCTTTTTTTATCCCTTTGCCATGAAGCATGATTTATTTTGTTTATTTTCAAAAGAAGTTTATATGAATTTTAAGACAAAGATATCTTTATATAAAGGATTTTTTTAACTGTTAAGCACTTGGATCAATTAGTAAGAGTTGTTCCAACTTAACTAAAAGTCACAGGTCCAATCTTTTGAGAATGTAATAGTATAGTTGGTAGGATCGCCGCCCATATAAATCTTATTTGACCTGATCCGAATTAGTCTGGTTTGTAATTTTCTAAGGAGTTGACCAGGATACCAGATGCAATATACAAAAAAAAAAAAATTGTGCAAGATTAATAATCTATTACTGTCAAAATTATTGACTTCCACCCCTAAATAAATATTGAATACAATTCCATATACAATTAAGATGAATTGGTCATGTTCTACTTGAGGACAGCAGACGATGACTACAGTAACAACCTACCCTAGTCAATTATGCATTTGACTATACATGATATGAAAATCCAACTGATTTGGCAGGCTAGACTAATCAACCAACGAACTAATTTCTGAGCAGTCCAGTTAAGAGTGTTGTCGACTGGTTGATTGAGATAAATTTTAGATTCCCCCCCCCCCTCTCTTTATTTGAGCTTAAAATGAAATCCTTTTGATTTTAAAAAAAGGAAAAAAAATCAATTCATTTTATTTGTGCTTTAGTAATTTTTTTGGATTATATGTGATTTAAATATGAATATTCTATTTTCTGGTGACTTAATTAATTAATGCCTTTTTACTTAAATTATAATAATATAATTTAATTAAAATATATCAGTTTAACTCTGAATTAACTCTAGTTTAAACCACTAATTTTTGAACCATTGTCTTAATTCGTTGGTTGACCAGATTTTCAGTACTTAGCTTATATACATTGCCAACACGTGTGATGTGGTGTGTGTGTTAAAATTATAAAATTACAAAAATTTTTAATTATTCAACTTTCTTACCATGGAAGAGTTAGTACTATTTACTACGTACGTTTGAGAGTGTGTAATAAAGCGTACAATTATAAATAATATGTGGTATTTTTAAATATAAAACTTCATTCTTATAAACTGTGTTAAACTAAGTATTTAAATCTCAGCGGAAAATATTAGTCATAAATCGGGTAAACTATATATTTTGTCATTTTAAACTTATATCAAATTTCAGCTTAATCCTTTAAATTTAAAAGATATTTTTAATTCCTTAAATTTAATACCATTAACCTCACTAATGTAAGATGCTAACTCAGTGATTTCAAAATAATGAATCAGCATTTAAATCTGACATGTTAATTTAAATTGAAAATATAATAAATTAAAAATATTTAAAATAAATCCAATTAAAGGTGCCATCAAACATAATTATTTCTTATGGTCGAATTTTCTAACGTAGTTCTATAAGATTTACTCTTAAGTTTCATAAAAAATATTACTAAAAATATTTGAAATTGTAACTTTGATTTTTATGATTGGCTTGATAAATTCTCATATTGAATCTAGTATAAAAGTTAATAATAACATTAATTCTTAAAATAATTATAATATTAAATTTTTTTAATATGAATATTGAAGATTTATTAGGAAATTGTTCAAAATGATAAGAGTAAGGAAACATATTATTTCATAATAACTAAAATGCATATAAATTGTTCATAAAAGAAAATTTTATTTAAAAATATTTTTAAATTTATCTATTTTAAATTAAAAATTAATATATCAGCATTTAAATAGTGTCATCATTTTAAAATCACTGAGTTAACATTGTTTGTTAGTAAAGTAACAGCGTTAAGTTTAAAGGGACTAAAAATATGTTTTTAAACCTAAATGACTAAATTGAAACTAAATATAAATTTAAAAAACTAATATATACTTTAGTCAGAATTAATACTAGATAAGTTCCAGAAAGCAGTGATTGAACAAAGAATTTGATAGATATCACTTGCCTTGGGCTGCATGCTTTCGGTTACAAGAGAGGGGATCGAACCCCTACCCACACACCCCACACACACCCACCCATACCACTAACCAAACGGTTCGGTGGTTGGGCTGCATGCTTTTATTGGAAAAAGCAACATCCAACACATTAATTTTATTATTTACGATGATCTAGCATCTTAATAATATTTTTTTGATGTTTGCAGCATTACAATCTTATTTTTATTATATCTAACATCCTAAATTATAAATAAAATTAAAGCATTAGATGTAATTAAAAAATAGCATAAAGTGTATTTGATGTGCAAGAAAAATGATACGGGGTGCTAATTATTAATTCATTCTACTTATTTGTTTTGTTTTGTTTTTAAATATTTATTTTATTAATAAATATAATTTGTTATGCCATTTATTTGATCATTCGAGTTAACAATAAAACTTATTTCAAAGTTATTTACATTCTAAGTTTAAAATTCACATGCCTCTCATGTGAATAAGGGAAAAAAATGACACAAGAACCAAAAGCATGTTTTATTACTATCTCAATCGGTTAGCTAACCAGTCGGGCATTGTATTAAATTTGATGTACTTTTGGGTGCGTAATAAACCGTCCCCATTATGAATAATATATGATATTTTAAATATAAAAATCACTCTTATGAACTTTGTGTTAAACTAAGTATGTTAAATCTCAACGAAAATAATAATTAACCGGGTAAACTATGTGTTTAGTCTTTCAAATTTACATCAAATTTTTAGTCTAATCCTTTAAATTTAATGTTGTTAACCTCACTAATAAAAAATGTTGGCTCAGAGATTTCAAAAACAACACTCAATATTTTAAAGTTCTAACCTATTAATTTCCATTTTAAAATATATAAATTAAAAATATTTAAAATAAAATATAATTAAAGGTACCATCAAACATAATTATTTCCTATGTATGGCCGAATTTTTTTAACATAGTTCTACCGGATTTACTTTAAATTTTCGGAAAAAATAGTATTTAAAATTATAACTTTTGATTTTTTTTATGATAAGCTTATAAAATTATCATATTGGATCCAGCATAAAAAGTTAATAATAACACTAATCTTTAAAATAATTATAATATTTGAAATTTTTATGAATAGTTATGATTTTTAGGAAACTTTTGCAAATCATAAGAATATAAAAATTATTTATTTCATAAAATTAAACAGCATATAAATTGTAGATAAAAGTAGTAGGTTTTATTTTAAATATTGAGTCATCATTTTAAAATCCTGAGTCAATATTTTTTACTAATAAGGTTAACGGTGTTAAGTTAAGGGATTAAAAATATAATTTTAAATTTAAATGACTAAACCAAAACTAGATGAAAATTTAAAAGGCTAAATATACACTTTGATCATAATTAATCATTACATAAGTTTATAGAAAGCCAATGACTTTTAACAAAGATGGAATTTGCCGGATATCACATATCTTGGGCAGCATGATTTCATTGGAAAAGCAACATCTAACACATTAATTATTGATGATATTTAACATCTTAATGTTAATTTTCCTAATATTTCATCACCTAATCTTATTTGTACTGCATCTATTACTAAGGGCGTATGATGTACAAGAAAAATAATTATAATATTACTTCATTCTACTTATTGCTTTGTCTTACATTTAATATGTATCTTATTAATAAAGATAATTTGTTATGCTATTAGATCATTCGATTTAACAGCAAAACTTATATGAAATTTAAGTAACATCCTAAGTTTAATAAATTAGAATAATTTAAAATAAGACGCTCAAGTGAATAAGGGGAAAAAATGACACAAGAACTAAAAAAAAGTTTTATTTTTGTGAAAAATAACGCTGAGAAGATATACAATTTATATTGAATTCGACTTGATTGGTATTATATGACCCACCACACAATATCCGATATATTATATGTCATGAGTCTTGAATTTCACGTAATTATTAAAAGCATACCTAACCATTTCTAAAAAAAGTAGAAAATGAGAATCAAACCAAATCATTCTTTTAAGAGTTAAGATCCAAATATATGTATGGATGTACGTGATGTGAGATTATTAAGCGTTTAATAATTGAAAGGTTATGAGAAGAAGATGACAAGTAATTTTATCCATATCCAAAGGAAAAATGTTCGACGGCTGGGAGTAATTGATAAGTGCAAGTGGTTGCAATAATTAATTCGTTGTAATCATTCTAAAGAGGACACAAGTGTTCCAATGAAATATAAGCTGCTTTATTTTATTTAGAATTTTCCAACTGAGGCGATGATCGGATAAAAA